CTTGGTCTAAAGAAATTACTTTGAAATTGGGATAATGTCTTGAATTAATAACATTTAAAAAAATAAAGTTTTTTGAAGGGCTCACTAATCTTTTTTTTTGTCTGCTTAATTGTATAGGTCAAATTTCCTGGGGCATAAAGGTGAAGTGGCTGAAGAGTTTGGTGTAATAATGAAAGCTTTATGGACAGGACAGTATAAATACATCAGTCCAAAAGACTTTAAAATTACAATTGGGAAGATTAATGACCAATTTGCAGGATATAGCCAACAGGATTCTCAAGAACTGCTTCTCTTTCTGATGGATGGCTTGCATGAAGACCTAAATAAAGTAAGCAATACACCTGTAACAAATTATACATCTGTCAGATGATCAAGAGAAATAAATTTTAAAAAGACCTTCATATTTCATTAGATCATTGTATTACTGGAACCTTGTACAGAAGGAAATGCGAGTATTCAGAATTAAGTAGGAATTTAGTTTGAAACAGTATAGGGTGCTGAAGGGAGTAATGGAAGAAGCCTAACTAGATAAGAAATAAATGACTATACTGACATGTTTAAATATTCTTGCAAATACTCAATAATGTGCTTGCCTATAGAGGAAACTTCCTAGCTTTATATATGTTAATATATGGTGTTTAAACTTCTTATCCAGGCTGACAACAGGAAAAGATACAAGGAAGAAAACAATGATCATCTAGATGACTTCAGAGCAGCAGAACTAGCCTGGCACAAACACAAACAGCTCAATGAATCCATTATTGTGGCACTCTTTCAAGGCCAGTTCAAATCTACAGTGCAGTGTCTTACATGTCACAAGAAGTCCCGAACCTTTGAGGCTTTCATGTATTTGTCATTACCACTTGCATCCACTAGTAAATGTACACTGCAGGTATGGTGGAACTGGAAAGAAACAGTTCTTGAAGTAAAAAACATTTGTCTGACTTCATTATGATGTTGCTTCTGCTCAGCCTCTTGTTGAAGGAGTTAGTCAGTATTCCCGCGTAACTTACAATAACCTGAAATATGAACAGATCTGAGTCTTCATTATTTTTTAATTCTTCCAAAGTTTAAAAAAGTACGTCATTCCTTAAAAGTATTAAAATACAAGCAGGATAGAAATAGTGAAGCCACAGTAGCAGAAAAGTCATGTATAGTATTTGCTTTTGTAGCTCATAGTTTAAATATTTTGTGTTTTTAAACAAAATATTGTAGGCATATTTTTAAGGACTTGCAGTTAATTAATATATGCAGTAAAATTTACTTCCACACATGGATTTAACTCACTTTTCCTCATTTTTGTGAAACATAGTACGGAGATAATTGATGCAGATTAACAACCAAATAGGAAACAAACATTTCTGCTACACTTTCATAAACACCTGCCCTTCACAGTCTATGTTTGTATTTTGTTTTAGGAATGCCTTAGATTGTTTTCCAAAGAGGAGAAGCTCACTGATAACAATAGGTTTTACTGTAGCCATTGCAAAACTCGAAGGGATTCTTTGAAAAAAATAGAAATCTGGAAATTACCACCTGTTCTTCTTGTACACTTGAAACGGTAAGTGAAACAGTGACTGGTGAAAATCAGTTAGGTTGAAGTATCCAGGCTCTGATGGAGATTGATTGTTCCAGCGCAATATCTAACCATTGTTAATTAGAGAACATTCCAGATGTATTTCCAGTTGTAATGTTGCAGGAATTTATTTTCATCTGATGCCTCTTTTATTAGTTCACAAGGCACTTTTACAAGTAATCTCTTTTCATTTGTGCTAAGAAACATATGTGCAAGCATTAAAAAAACCAGGGGCCAAATACTTTAGTTGATGTTATATCCTGGTTAAAAACAGGGAAAACAAACACATTTAATATTCTTAAATAGCTTGTGAACAGCCAATAACTTGTAATGATGCTTTTCAATTCTCTAGATTTTCCTATGATGGAAGATGGAAGCAAAAGCTTCAAACTTCTGTAGATTTCCCATTGGAAACTCTTGACCTTTCACAGTATGTTATTGGTCCAAAGAATAACTTGAAGAGATACAATCTGTTTTCAGTATCAGTAAGTAGCCATGTCGCATTTCAAAGTTCAGATGGTCTTTATGGTAAGATTTGGGTTTGCCTGAGTGATTCATCTAGGATTCCAGGCCACCTACTTGCTTGCAGATTAAGTTGTATTCTAGAAAGAATTAATGGTATTTAGCAAAAATCTCACGTTGTAGTTTATTTCCCTAACCAGGGAAGAAACGTCAGCTTTTGAGGTCATTAATTCTTTAATTCTTCTGTTTACAGAATCATTATGGCGGGTTGGATGGAGGGCACTATACAGCCTACTGCAAAAATGCTTCAAAACAACGCTGGTTTAAGTTTGATGACCATGAAGTATCTGAGATCTCAGCATCATCTGTGAAATCTTCAGCTGCGTATATTCTCTTTTACACTTCTTATGAACAGCGAGCAGTGGATATGGCCACATAAAGTAGCGTGGGTTAAGAAAACTGCTTTTCTTCTTGTAAGAGCAAAGTAGATATGGGAATGCATATAAATATGCAAAACTAGGACAAACATAGTCACTTATGGGGATGGTTGCAGTAGCTTTTCTGCAAGCAAGCTCTTTCTGGTCAGTACTAGTGCTTAAAAATCAGAAGACTGATTAATAATGCTTGTGGTAATACTGCCATCTGTGGAACCATTTAAAAAACATATTTGCATTGCCATTTATTTAAAAAACAACTATATTTTTAGTCTGCTCCAAAATTAAATTAAATTCTAGCTTAGTCATCTGAAATCTATTAACAAGTAGTTTAAAATGTCTTAAAATCCCAAGGCATATCTTGATTTTTTTTTTTCTTTTTTCTTTCACTGTTATGGCCTTTTCACATTTCTAACCTTAAGCTTGATTCTACTGTGAATACTCTAGAATGATGTAAACAGTTAGGAATGTAAGTGTACATATTGATTGCATACTTGCACATCAGAACTATGTATATAATAAACTGTTGTCCTTTTTGTGAGAATCTCTAAAACTCAGAGGATTGCATTTATTTGCCAGCTCTAAGTGATTGCAACACTACTTAATAAAAAAAGCAGAGCTGTATTTTTTTTTCTGTTGGCTTTTGTCAATATTTGTGCACTTCAGAGTTATTCGAAACAAACAAGATTTTCCTTTTTAATTTTTTAATATAAATTTTCATGTACACATGCATTAAAAACCTTAATGAAGAAATTATTTAAAAATATATCCTGTTAAATGTATGTTTGGTTTTGGTGTTTTCATTCTCAGCTAGTTGTGTAACGGGTCAGGATTCTGCATAATGACAGTCTGAAGCATATTCACACAGTTTAGAGGTTCTTCAGATGAAAAAAAATACTACTTGGTGTAGAACTGATTAGTTCAGAAACTATTTTAGTTGCATCTTGTGCATTTCCTTGCTCTGGATTTAGTTTAGTTTTCCCTCTGATTAGGCTGGCATTCAAAAAGCTTAAATCTTACATTCTGAACTTTCATCTGTCTACAAGTGTGTGTCTTGCTGATGGAATTAAGACCAGGATTGTTTCCCAGAAGCTTACAAGCTGCAAACAAATGGCAACACTAGAATAAGCCTTTTTCTTTCTCCTTCTTTTATTAATGATCACTTCATCTCCCTAGTCCCTTCTGAAACATGCACGCTCAGGGCTTGGGTTCTGTACTTTCACCTTGATATCTTACTGTCAGTTTCTGAAAGGCACCTCAGAACAATTTGGATGCATTGACCCTGACAGGACACCACCAAAGCCGCTCTATCGCTCCCCACCTCAGCTGGGCAGGGCAGAGAGAATATCACGAAAGGCTTATGGGGCACGATAAGGACAGTGAGAGATAACTCACCAGTAACTGTCCCCGCCAAAACAGACTCGACTTGGAAAAAGTAATTTAACTTACTGCCAACCAAATCAGAGCAGGGTAATGACAAATAAAAGAAACCTTAAAAGACCTTCCCCTCAATCCTCCCTTCTTCCCAGGCTTAACTTCATTCCCAATTTCTCCACCTCTTCCCGCCCCCAGCGGCGCAGGGGGACAGGGAATGGGGGTTGCGGTCAGTTCATCACCTGTTGTCTCTGCTGCTCCTTCCTCCTCAGGGAGAGGACTCCTCACACTCGTCCCCTGCTGCACGGTGGGTCCCTCCCACAGGGTGCAGTCCTTCAGGAACAGGCTGCTCCAGCGTGGATCCCCTGCGGGGTCACAAGTCGTGCCAGCAAACCTGCCCCAGCGTGGGCTCCTCTCTCCACAGGTCCTGCCAGGAGCCTGCTCCAGCGCCCGCTTAACACAGGGTCACAGCCTCCTTCAGGCATCCGTGTGCTCTGTAGCTTTTTACAGACGGGGGGGTTCTCCACAGTCCTCCCCGGGCCGCAGGTGGATACCTGCTCCACCGCGGACCTCCACAGGCCGCAGCGCACAGCCAGCCTCACCATGGCCTGCACCACGGCCTGCGGGGGAATCTCTCCTCCCCCTCCTTCCTCACTGACTGTGGGGGCTGCAGAATGGTTTCTCTCACATTCTCACTCCTTTCTCCACCTGCAATTGCTCTCCCACTGTTTGTTTTGGGTTTTTTTCCCCTTTCTTAAATATGTTATCCCGGAGGCTCCACCACCATCGCTGATGGGCTCGGCCTTGGCCAGGAGTGGGTCCGTCTTGGAGCTGGCTGGCATTGGCAATATCAGACACAGGGGCAGTTTCTGGCAGCTTCTCACAGAAGCCGCCCTTGTAGCCCCACCTCTACCAAAACCTTGCTATGCAAACCCAGTACAACAGGATAATAACTAACAGAGAAACAGGAGTTTTCAGGTAAGTACATCTATATGCTCAGCATTTGTGTTCTTTTGAGTAATGTATGAAGTTTGTCATGGAAAACAACCATTAGACCTGGTACAAATGGAGTGGATGTACGTTCCTCCTTAACAGGCTCGGAAGCTGTAACTCTTCTCTCAAAATTACTTCCTGAAAGATCACAACAAATGATTGGTAATGCAGAGACTCTAGTTTATTGATGAAACAGGACTTGGCTAATGCTGCCAATGAATTCTAACTGCTGGCCTACTCATGGGTCATTTTCCAGGGCTAACAGAATTTTTTTTAATGGGTGCAGAAAAGGTCTTGGCAGGTGTAGAATAGGAGATAAGCTGTGTCAGTCTGCACTGAGGAATTTGGGATCCTGGTGATCTGTGAATCATCAAAGCTGTACCAGTTTTTGGTGACTGAGTGCTTGCAGAATGCTGTGTAGTGGCCTTTATTCAGAATACCAGTGTGATTCTGTAACAAACAGAAACAAACACTTTTTAAACTTCTGTTAAAAAGAAGTCTCACTCCTTCTCCAGAGCTTGAAACTGGCAATCAGTTTTTGTTTGCACTTGGAAAAGATGGGAAGGAAGATTCTAGCCTCCTCTGGCCTACAGTGAGGAATGATAATTCCTCAAATAAATGCTTTAAAACATAGCCAATCGATGATTATCCTTCTCTATTTTACAATATTAAATTTACAACCAAGCAATTAGTCCTGATACGGGTCACTATAAGCAGGCCTACTTGCAGTGAGCGACCAAAAAAGAGACCATTTAGTTCTGATTTATAAACAGGATCTGTACAGGATCAGCTTGTGAGCTTACGTTAAAAAGGCTGAGGAGGCTCCAACCAGGCGTTATGTGCCAGGAGTACATGCCTTTTAAAACAGGGATGGGAGGAAGGAGAGAGAAGTGGTAACTTCTCTCTTCTTTGGTTACATACTGCTACTGGATTGTGTCCATGGCAGGGAAAAAAAAAAAATAAAGGTGTATGAAAAAACATATATATATATATATATATATATATAATATAAAGTCCAAACTAACACAGGCTTCATCTGCTCCATAAGGTAGGGCACTACAAATAAAAGCAGTAAAGACAAAGCTTACCACTACAGCATACAAGCTGTACTCTGCATCCTTGTAGAAAAGTGGGGAACTGTAGGGAGAGAGGTCCAGATTGCTGAGTGGATAGCAGATGTCAGTTGAGAGTTTCCTTTTGCGATTACCTTGCCATTCAAACCTGGAATGAAAATTTTAACTGTTTTCAATAACTCAGCTCTTTTCTTGCATAGTGGTGGTTGCTGGGACCACCCAGCATTTTGAAAGAGAAAGATCTGTATTAATGTTGAGTATCACAGTAAACTGACAGAAAATGCACTAAACCCACAAGAGATGTCCAACAAGAAAAGCTTTTGCTTCCTGATCCTTCTGTCTATTAGAAATGGACACAGGTGCCAAGAGCAGCCAGAAGTCAAATCTCTGCATCACAGTCTCTGTGTCCTAAACATTTTGGACTGCACTGCCGTTGTCAGCTCTTCTTTCGTGCCAGGCTCCATCCCTCTTTTCTCTGTAAGTTCTAGTACAACACTGTACTTCTAAACATTTATAATGTGGCCAAGAGCTGCAGCTGCAGACCACCAGTTCCTTTGAGTATGTCAAGGAAAGCAGATGCTGAATGGGAAATTAAATAACTTTACATAATGTAGCTCTGGGAAGCTAAGTCATCCCAGAGTAATTTTCTTCATAGGTAGGAAGTTGTTAGGAATAAATTCTTAAAATTAAATTTATCATCTGGCCATGTATGGCTAGTAAAGTCTGCTATTCAGGAGCATTTAGGGTGATGCAGCTCTGTGTAGCAGATTCAGTTGTTTAGACCTGATTTAATTAAGGCATAAACAAAAATACAGTGTCTCAGCTGCAATAACAACAAGCAAAATGCCCTGTTTCAGTCCTGCACTTAGAACCCAAGTCACAAGCTCTCCCACTTGCCACAGGAACTCGTATTCACAGGGTTGTCTGACCATGTGAACCGCTGTACTAATCTGTAGCCAACCACTCTTTGGTGGAGATTTTCTTCCCTTTGGAGAAGAGATCCCAAATGTAGTGAGTGCACTTTGGTGGGCTGCAGTACAGAGTAAGGCAGAACACCTCAACTGAGATTCAGGAATGAAACTTGATTGTTTGGCAGGAATATTTCTGTAACATTTAGCTTCCAGGTATCAAAAGTACTAAAACCACTCATTTGCAGTGATTTCTTTCCATTTATGCAAATGTAAGTGACTGTCCTTCCCATCTCACAAATCTCAGGAAATGGCCATGTCCTACCCTATATAGACTGTACCTCTTCAGGTGAAAAATAATGAACTGCGGTGCCTTGGTTATGGTGGCCTTTACCACAGCATCTTGTTTTGTTCTACACCAAGAACAGTAGATTTGGTTGTTCCAAGTCAGTGTGTCTTGCTGAAAGAAGCATTTGAGACAGTCCTGTCAAAGAAAAAAAAAAAAAAAAATCAAACAGGTCTCCACTCTACGGATCTTAAGCAAGGTAAGAGAAGGTTTTGCCATATTTTGGCGCTCTCTTCCTGATTGAAGCATGATGTGGAAAGGCTGACATTACATATAGGCTTGGAACACAAAGCAGCCAACGTTGGTTTTCTTTTTCCTCCCAAATGAGGAAATACTCAGATGAATGAAAGAAACTCTCAGAATTGCTACTGAACAATCTTAACATCCCTCATCATCCCATGGCAACTCAGGAGTGTTGGTCCCGTAACCTTACCAGCCTCTGTAGTCCAGAGACCAGCATAGAAACCCCACTTCTCTTAGGACCAGTTCAGAGACTACCCATTAGTGCCCAGGAAACCAAACTAACTAAAATCCTGCATCTTTAAAAACACGTATCAGTCTAAGTCACCTATTCCCACATGAAGCAGAAACCAGCAGGAATGTATTCAAAGTCGCACCTGCAGAGAGCACATGCTCTTGGAAGGGATGGGCAGGGACAGAACGGTGAAGCTCTCGGGTCTATCAATGGTTGTCTTGCATTCCAGGCACGTGATCGCATAACTGAGTTGTCCCTCAAATAACTGTGTGATAATAGAGGTTTCACTGACACTCCCTCCACTTGCTTTTGCTTTGGTTATGCATCTTCTTTTGCTTGACTATACAGAAGGAGAAAAAAAACAAAATTAACAACATGTAGGTAGGTAACCAGTTGTTTCAGAATTGCCTTCACTGGGTTTTAATGGTCTCTGCCCACTGCCTGTGTAGGCTACTAGTTAGTTTTGTCACAGAACTTGGGCTTTAAAATGCTATTACTTTACTTTATGTTTCATACATGCAGAGTAAGCTAAATTCATTTTGAGAGAAATTAAACAAAAATAATAATATTCTGGACATTAGATGAGAATGATTTAATTGCTAAACAAGCTCTTTATCAGTGAATCCAAAGACGAGAAAGGCAGACACGGGGGCATGGCCGACATAGATTTCAGACAGATGATGAAGGGGAAGAATGTAAAGTGTGGAAGGAGCAAGGACAGAGAGAGGTGAGGATAATGGAGCTACATTATCATTTAGATGGGGGCTGCAATTTGATGTAGCATTAGACAAGAAGCAAATGAATTATTGTGTGTACCTGGATATGGAACAAAGGAAGAAAATGACAATTTTTAGCACTCACATCATGTAGTTCGGAAGAAGAAGATAGGCAATTATTACGTGGAATGCTATATCATGAAATGCAAAGAGGAAACAGCTACAGTCCCCAAAACACCACAACTGGGCTCTTACCTTCTTGAGAGCCTCATGGAGCTCATTCAGCACACAGACCAGAAACTCCTGTGCATCCTGCTGAGAACTCTTGCTAAAAGTTGGGTACCGCTTCTCAAGGACTGAATGAAAAACCTCCGGGGAAACAATGTCAAACTCTCCAAGCAACATATCAGACATCAAACAGCCAAAGGCAGTTGCAGACTCACCATTCTCACTTGGAAAAAATAAACATAAGTTTCAGGCAAAGTATGAAAAGATGGTGGCTCTACCTTCAAATGGGAGTTTAATACAAAAACTTAGAAAATATACTCAGGTACAGTACAACTCTGACAGCTTGTCATTTGGTTGGACGGACTCTACAGATTCTAGAAAGTAATGGGAATCACTATTGAGACAGCAGTGACAACTGCTATTACCATCAAAACAACAAAAGAAGTATAATGCTTAAATTAGGAAGGAAACGACTCAGGGTCTCAGAGAAAAAAGGAGGATATCAGCTTGTGGCCAATTTGACTGGAACTACCCCGTGGGGAGCTGGTAGGTGGCTGCCTCAGACGTTCTCATGGCAACACGTATCCTTTGGAAGGAAAACGGCAGCACCAACAGAAAAATATATAAGTAGCATGAATAAATCAACTTACTTGTGTAGAGCTGCTTTATACTTTCCTGAGAGAAAATACTCCACAAGTGGTGGCACACTGCAGAGGCACTGCAAAATTGCATTCATGTAGCATGTGTTGCCTAGATTCTTCAGGCCGGCGAGCCCTGGGGGCTGGCTGTTCATCTCCTCCATCTGTTCCTTGCAGAAATACTTTACACTTTGCAAGTAAATGGACTCTTACTGTCACCTACTAGGAAAAAAACCACAACAGTGGAAACCTAAAATGCTACAGTGCTTTTTGCATTGTTTTTTAGAAAACAGTACTGTCTCATGGAGATGTTTCCTACTGTTTCAGGATCTTCTTTATAAGTTATATTCATATTTACTTTCATCAAGCTAATACAGTGGTAAAGACTATCTCCCACAATAAGCTCTTCCCAATACAGTGAGCAACATCATTAAGAGGTATTGTTTAAATACCTGAGGTTTTAGATATATTCCTAAAGTTCCACTCAGTCTTTGACTCCAATACACAAATACTTAGAGACTATAACCAGCTGTAAATAGCTATCTTAAGCATTTCTCCCTACAGAATGAATATTGTATTTCATTTTCTCAGTGGTCTGGTACTTATATATTTTACAAAACCACAGATTGCAGTCCAGCTGCTACTACAGACAGGTTGCTCTTTAGACTTTTGCCATAAAATGTTACTTAATTCATGTTAAGAAATTTTTAGTAGGTTTGTTTTCTTGCTGCACGAGTCTGTCCTGGACCAAACTGTCCCCATCTCCAATTAGGCAGAAGAGAGGTCTGAACACAGACCCTGCACAACTCAGATCTGTTCGCTGATGTTGCCATTCTTGAATTTTTAAAGGCTGCTGTTTAATTCTGATGCAGAAGGAGTGAAAATTCTGAAACCTCAACAATATTTGTAGAACAAGAAAAAAACATTTCTTTCTCTTCAGGTGAAAAACACGTGCCCAAGTTGCCGTTTCTGGAAATCTCCCAGGCCAACAGCCATTTTCTATCATCTAATAGCTATAAAACAACTACAAAAGTGTTTCCATCAATAACAGCAGAGCCAACACTCTACCTATAGACCAGTATCCTATGAAAATGCCTACTTCCCTCTTCTATAGCCATCTCTGAGAAACACCAACTTGGAAAACACATTGGGCCCATTGGGTATGGATCAGCCTCTCAGGGAGCCTGTACTTGCCCTGGCTCAGGAAGGCTGCCTCTTGCCCTCTTTTCTTCATACCTCACCTCTTCCACCCCGTTTTATGGCATGACTGGCACAGTCCTGCTTGTCCCGTCCCCTGGGGCTACCCTGGTCCCATTGCTTTGTGACACCGTTCTGTTCCGTTGGTTCTCATCCAGGGGAACCCAACCCACTGTCTCCTTCCTACATGCCACCCAAAACAACCCTGGGAAGAGATGGGTGGCCACCCACTCCCCCAGGCCCAGAGTTTCAGCCTGACCCACCTTTATTAATGTATGTTCATACTTGTATTAGCATTTATTATTGCCATGCTCTGATGGAAGGGCAGCGGTGACTGAGGGTTTTAACCATAAAAGATGAAACTACCTCAAAACGTTATATTTACTTAGTTTATCAGTATTTAGAAAATTTTCCTAGGAAAAAAGGGTAGTAGCAGAGACTTGCCTTAATTAGCTAATGAGACACTGCAGTTGATCTCTGAATTTCATAAACCACTGAAGGGCAGCAGGTTTTCCCTATTTAACATACAATTTGGGAATTAACAAGTATCCACAAAAGAGGACCAGGAAGCCCTTAAAAAACTCTGTTTATCTTGCATGCTAAGCTTCAAGCAGAGGGTGTCTCTCAGCCCTCTTTGGACAGGTTAGCTGCTGTCACTGCCATTTATCTCCTAAACTGTCTATCTGCAAACTGAGATACAAAAGCAACACACACACCCAATACTACTCAAAATATTACAGTTCCATTTACAAAAATGCAGATCATATTGTACGTACTTTACAAAGAGATTCAAATGTTTTAAAATTAAATTATTATCCTATAGGTTAAACCTAAAAATTTTAACAAATATGTCCAAAAGTCTGAATATGCACCAATAAGTAAGTACATTCACAGGGGTTTTTCCCACCCTGAAATATTTCTTTAAAGTTCTGTTGACAAATCTCAACTAGCTAGGAATTCAATCCTGCCTCTTTACACAAATTTACTCAGTTCAAATATGCAAAATGTGAGATTGAAATGTGTGGGAGACCTCAGCTAGACTGAGGCCCTGGGAAGGGACGACTTCAACCTTGAAAGGATTCCAGTCTACCCCTGAGAGAGCAAACAAGAACAAGAGGAGCTGCAAGATGAGCAAGCTTATTGATCGCGGTAAGAAAGCATAACAACTTTGAACCAACAAGAAAAGAGACACATCGGAACAACTGATAACCCAGTACTTAGAGCTAGTTTTAGGTGTATAGAGATACCAGAAAGCTTGGGAGCCTGAACTTTTGAACTTTTCATCTTACTACACTTGCATGATGAGCTTATGCATATTAACTTCTCCGCCCTGGCAAGAGCCAGGGTTCATTTCCAAGAACATGCGATGTATGAACACATGCATGAAGGGGTATGTCAGTAGGGGGTCCAGAAAGTCTGTACATCCTGTAGTAAAAGTAGAAAGGAACAAAGGAGGAGAGCAATAAAGGCTTTTGTGTTAACTTGCTTTAAAGAAGAAACTGTCTTGTAGTTTTGTCCATCTCGACCACGACAGAAATGCAATGCATTTTTCTCATAAAGCTGTGATTGTTTGTTCCATATATGGAGATACTTTGTCAAAGGGCTGTGGGTAAAACACAGATACAAGCACATGTTGCAGATACATCAAAAGGCCTGCTGCAGAGCAACTGTTTGGATAATTGAAACATACCAGATATTTCCATTGCAGATGCAGAGTATTTATGCACTCTTATACTTATCACAGTGTAGGTATAGATTGAAGCCTGTAATACATCTGTAGTCTGCACATAAGTAGAACTTCCATAAATTCTCTGAAAGCTTGTTTTGATGGAACCTTCATTCTCATTCCTATTAAAGCATGTCCCAAATTTCTGTGATTCCAAGGCCACTTGCTTATTCCTACATTCCTTTTTTTGGGGGGGGAAATTAATGAACTTCTAATAATGTGCACTAATACAGAAATAAAATTCAAATGGGAATTAGAACAGTTGCAACATTGGAGAAAAATATCAAGAAATTACAAGAATAGCAAGGAATTAATTTTACATTATTGGAATTTAGCCACTTAGATAAATTGTATTCACTGGGATGATTCTCCATATTTTCTTGATTTTATCTTCTTTTTCACATAATCATAGCATGTTTTGGGTTGGAAGGGACCTTAACAGTCACCTAGTCCCGACCCCCCTGCCATGGGCAGGGGCACCTTCCACCAGCCCAGGGTGCTCCCAGCCCCGTCCAACCTGGCCCTGAACCCTTCCAGGGAGGGGGCAGCCACAGCTTCTCTGGGCAGCCTGTGCCAGTGTCTCACCACCCTCACAGGGAAGAATTTCTTCCTAGTATGTAACCTAAATCCACCCTCTTTCAGTTTAAAACCGTTACCCCTCATCCTATCACTGCCCTCCCTGATAAAGAGTCCCTCCACACCTTCCTTGTAGCCACCGTTAAGCACTGGGAGGCTGCTCTAAGATCTCCCCGGAGCCTTCTCTTCTCCAGGCTGAACAACCCCAACTCTCTCAGCCTGGCCTCACAAGGGAGATCCATGTCCATGGATCGAGCAGGTCCATGTCACTCTTACGTTGAGGGCCCCCAGAGCTGGACACAGCACTGCAGGGGGGTCTCACGAGAGCAGAGCAGAGGGGGAGAATCCCCTCCCTCGACCTGCTGGCCACACTTCTCTTGATGTGGCCCAGGGTACAATTGGCTTTCTGGACTGCGAGTGCACATTGCCCCGTATGCAGGACCTTGCACTTGGCCCTGCTGAACTTCATGAGGTTTGGACGGGCCCACCTCTCAAACCTGTCCAGGTCCCTCTGGATGGCATCCCTGCCCTCCAGCCTGTCGACCGCACGACACAGCTCAGTGTTGTTGAATTTACTGGGGTTGCACTCAATCCCACTGTCACTGTCACCAGCAAAGACATTACAACAGCACTGGTGCCAACACCAACCCCTGAGGAATGCTACTCATCACTGCTTTCCACTTGAACATCAAGTCACTGACCTCAACTCGAGCATGACCATCCAGCCAATTGCTTATCCACCAAGTGGTCCATCTGTTAAATCCATGTCTCTGCAGTTTAGAGACAAGGATGTTGTGCAGGGCAGCATCAAATGCTTTGCAGAAGTCCAGGTAGATGATGTCGGTTGCTCTTCCCTATTCAACCAATGTTGTAACTGCATTGTAGAAGGCCACCAAAGTCTTCAGGTGCAATTTGCCCATGTGGTCTGTTACCAATCACCTCCTTATTTTCCATGTGCCCTAACATAACTTCCAGGAGGATCTGCTCCATGATCTTGCCCAGCACAGAGGTGAGACTGACTGGAGTGTAGTTTCCCATTTTTAAACTGGGGTTATGTTTCCCCTTTCCCAGTCAGTGGGAACTTCAGACTGGCACAGCTCCTCAAATATGATGGATAGTGGCTTAACCACTTCATCCACCAGTTCCCTCAAGATCCGCAAATGCAACTCATCAGGTCCCAAGGACTTGTGCACCTCTATGTTCCTTAGATGGTCTTGAATCTGATCTTCTCCTATAGTAGGCAGTTCTTCTTTCTCCCAGTCCCCATCTTTGCTCACTGCAACTTGGACGGTGTGGCTGGAGCTCCTCTGGTGAAGACTGAGGCAAAAAAGTCATTAAGTACCTCACCCTTCTCCATATCCCGGGTGACCAAGTCTCCCTCTTCCTTCCAGTGAGGGCCCACGTTTTCCCTAGTCTTCCTTTTACCACCAAAGTACCTGTAGAAGCTTTTCTTGTTGTCCTTGGTGTCCCTGGCCAGGTTTAATTCTATCAGGGCTTTGGCCTTCCCAACCTGATCCCTGGCTGCTCGGACAGTTTCTCTGTATTCCTTCCAGGACACCTGTCCTTGCTTCCACCCTCTGTAGTCTTTATTTTTGTGTTTGAGTTTGTCCAGGAGCTCCTTGTTCATCCACGCAGCCTCCTGATGTTTTTATCTGACTTCCTCTTTGTCTGGATGCATTGCTCCTGAGCCTGGAGGAGGTGATCCTTGAATATTAACCAGCTTCAGGTCCCTCTTCCATCCAGGGCTTTATCCCATGTTACTCTACCAAGCAGATTGCTGACGAGGTCAGAGTTTGCTCTCCTGAAGTCCAGGGTAGTGAGCTTGCTGGGCACCCTCCTCACTGCCCTAGGGATCTTGAACTCCAAAATTTCATGATCTTTGTAGCCAAGACTGTCCTTGAGCTTCACACTCCCCACCAGCACCTCCTTGTTTGTGAGAACACGGTCCAGCACAGCACCTCTACTTGTTGGCTCCTCTATCCTTCCTTGGAGGAGGAAACTATCAACACATCCCAGGAACCTCCTGGATTGCTTATGCCCTGCTGTGTTGTCCCTCCAACAGGTATCAGGGTGGTTGAAGTCCCCCATGAAGACCAGGGCTTGTGAACGTGAGGCTGCTCCTACCTGTCTACAGAGGGTCTCACCTGCTTGGTCTTCCTGCTTGGGTGGCCTGTAGCAGACCCCCACTTTGACACCTCCTGTCCCTGCCCTCCCTTTAATCCTGCCCATACGCTCCCGGTCAGCTCCTCCTCCAGCCCCAGGCAGAGCTCCAGGCACTCCAGCTGGTCGCTGACATAGAGGGCAACCCCCTCTCCGTCTCCCCTGCCTGTCCTTCCTAGAGAGTCTGTGCCCTTCCATTCCATCACTCCCGTCATAGGAACCGTCCCAGTCCCAGCACGTCTCTGTGTCACCAGTAACATCGTAGCCCTGCAGGCGTGCGCACGTCTCTAGCCCCTCTTGGTTATTCCCCATGCTACGTGCGTTTGCATAGAGGCATTCAAGTTGGAACCCTGATGAAGGTGTTGGGGTCTGACTTTTGTTTTTGACAAAAACAATCATCGTAAGTATCCATTCTTAGTTTGGAATAGAGGGTACACTGCCAGCAGGTTGTGTTGTTCTTCCAGTTAAAGAATTTTTTACATTTTGTGTGATTTTTCCTCAGTGTCTCCTTTATCCTTCATTTTCGCAGCTTTTCCAGTCTAAAAAAAAAGAAAAGTCAAAATCAAAACCGTAGTATTTTGATGATGGGATGTATAGCTTCACATTTTGTTAGGGTAAGAGAGGGTTAACAAGGCTTTCTGGCTTTGGGTCACCAGCTTATCTGTCTTGCAGTTATACATATTCCTTCAAAGAATGATAACCAATAATATAAATTGGTTTTATT